TCTATCTATCTATCTATCTATCTATCTATCTATCTATCTATCTATCTCCCTATCTATCTGAGACAGAGTCTCACTATATACTGGCCTGGAACACACTGTTTAGGGTTGTTTAATTTTTTTCTGGACTCTTTAGACAATCTTCATGTGAGAAACGTTTATGACCAAGGTGAGACACTTTAACTGCTTATTTAAATATGGTTAGCAAGAAAACAAGTGCTAGTGGGCCTTTACATATTGCTGATAAAAAAATAAGATGGTTTCAGCACTGTAGGAAACTGTTTTCTCAAACCTAAATATTGAACTACAATTTGGCCTAATAGTAGCATTTCTACACTTATATCTCAAGAAACTTAGAGTACATATGTTTACAGCAACACTGTTTATTACAAAGAAGAAAAACAGCCCCAATATCCCTCAAAGGTTAAACATAAGTAAACATAAAATAGGATACAGTGCATTCATAACAAGAAATGGTGGTGGTGGTATACACAGAGGCAAGCAGGTGGATCTCTGTGAGTTTAAGGCCAATCCGGTCTACAGAGTGAGTTCCAGGACAGCCAAGGCTACACAGAGAAACCCTGTCTAAAAAAAAAAAAAAAAAAAGAAAAGAAGGAAAGAAAAAGAAAGAAACTCTTAATAAATGCTTCTGCATGGATTAACCTTGAAAATATTAGGCTCAAGAAAAAGAAATCACGTTTTTAATCGCTGAGTAATATTCCATTGTATAAATGTACCATAATTTCTGTATCCATTCCTCAATTGAGGGACATCTGGGTTGTTTTCAGATTCTAGCTATTATGACTAAAACTGCTACAAACATGGTTAAGCAAATGTCCAGATTCTGGCTATTACGAATAAAGCTGCTACAAACATGGTTAAGCAAATGTCCTCCTTGTATACTTGAACATATTACAGATATATGCCTAGGAGTGGTATAGCTGGATCTTGAGGTAGCACTATTCCTAATTGTCTGAGAAAGTGCCAGATTAGTTTCCAAAGTGGTTGTACAAGCTTACATTCCAACCAGCAATGGAGGAGGGTTCCCCTTTCTCCACATCTTCTCCTGCATGTGTTGTCACTTGAGTTTTTTTATCTTAGCCATTCTGATGGGTGTAAGGTGAAATCTAAGGGTTGCTTTGATTTGCGTACTACTCAGCAATTAAAAACAAGGAAATCATGAAATTTGCAGGC